CGTTCCGCGCCTTTCCGCCGCCAGCATGAGTGTGGTGGAGCACGTACGAGAGATGGCGTCCGCCGGGCTCCACTCTAACGTGCGGCTCCTCAGCGGGCTTCTCCTCACGATGAGCGGCAATAACCCGTGAGTGGCCCTCCCGTGAGAGGGCGCGCCGGGTGGCTGCGGGCTGACAGGGCCCGGTGGCGCTGAGAAAAAAAAATGCTGAGGGAGAGGCCAGGCGGGACCTCGCAGGGTGGCGGGGGGGGGTCTTTTGAGCAGGGATGGAGGCAGGCTCGCTTTTAGAGCTGTCCTTCCCGCCGGGCTTTATGGTGCGGGTGCCGTGCTCCTGTCCCCGGCCCTGCAGGGGATGCAGCCCGGCTCTGTCAGCGCGTCTCTCTGTCCGGGCTCGGCATGAGCAGCGCAGCCTCTGCCCCTTGGGGTACACGCCACAGCTTGAGCGTCCTGGCAGAGATGGAGCGATTTTGGGTTTTTTTCCCTCCAGGGGTCCCCTGCGTAGGTCAGGGCTCTTCCCCTGACTCAAGTGGTACCCTTTATTTTTCAGGACTTCCCTGTAAGATATCATTTTACAATTTGGATGGGGTTTGAGGTACCGATTGAAGCCAAAATCCTATTCCGAAACCCTAACTCTTCAGCACTTTTGCAAACATACTGGGAGTGTTATAAAGGCGGGTTGTAAAATGTAGGAACATGTGGATTAGGACCAGGATAACCGTACAAGGAGCTGAGTTGCTTTGTAAGCTTGAGTCCATTCAAACAAAGTATAATGGATGTTGGCACCATGTGGTTTGTTATGGGGAGGATGGGGCTGCACCATTACCGAAAGCACTGGCTAATCAGCTAAGCCTAAGCCGTTGTTAATGATGAGGTGTCAGGAACAGCTATTACATTTGTTTGTATACAGATAAAAGAAATTGGCAAGATAATCCCTTTGTGAGGAGGTAGTACCTGTTACCTGGGGGCCTTCCAGCGTAGTAAAGAACAGCAGCAGTTGGAAGTTGAAGCCAGACAAACCAAAGCTAAAAATACTTTGGATCTCTAAGGTTTTCATTCTTATGCAGTTAGCTGATCTCAGCCTTTCTGTTTGCATTTCTTCTAGGGAACTGTTTTCACCATCTCAGAAATACCAGCTTCTTGTATATCATGCAGACTCTCTCTTCCATGATAAAGAATATAGAAATGCTGTAAGTAAGTATACAATGGCCTTGCAGCAGAAAAAAGCTTTAAGTAAAACTTCAAAAGTAAGACCTTCTACTGGGAATGCTGCATCAACTCCCCAAAGCCAGGTATTTAAAAGCTGACTAATGTGCTGCATGAAATGATTGTGTTCCCCCCCTTACAATTAATGTTGCAGACTCGATACTATAGCATTGGATTGCGGATTTATTGTGTCAAATAACCCTGATGTTTTAGGCTAATTTGTTTTGAAAATATCAATGTGGTTTTTTCTGATGCAAAACTTAATACGGTCTCAGGCATGAGATTTTTTTTTTGTATGTGTAGTTCATGCTTTTCGTTTGAAGGTAGGAGCAATATGAGTTAGCAGTAGGCTGCATCGTTAACTTCGCTTACACTATGTTGAAAAAATCTAGTGCATTTAATGAAGAAACCTTGTTCAATTTTTTCACGTGCCTAAACTGGTGGTGTACTTTAAAGTTTGTTTTTATTTCAGTGTTTACCATCTGAAATTGAAGTGAAATATAAAATGGCTGAATGTTATACAATGCTGAAGCAAGATAAAGATGCCATTGCTATTCTTGATGGGATTCCTTCCAGACAGAGGACCCCAAAGGTTAGTTCTGGCAGAGTTTTGTCACAAGTCCTTGGTCAGCATATCTTGAATCTATAGGCTAGCGCCTGGTCAAAAAAAAGAACGTAGCCTATAGGAATAATGTCATTGTGTCTTCATATTTGCTTCTGTATTAGTTAAATGTTGTTTGGAAACACTAATGTTTAAATTAGCTTAGTTTATTTGGCCTCTCTTCTTTAAAATCAGACAAATTTTGTATTCCCTCTGTTAGACTTTAGAAAAAGTGAAAAGAGTTAAATGTTTGTGTGCATCTTTATTAATTTGTATGAATTACCTGGTTAACTTCAGTACTGCTTGTGGCAGGTACAGAATTTTGCTTGTGTACAAGGATGAAGAAACACTTTTTAAATTCTAAAAGTTTGTAAAGTACTTGTATATCTATACATAAGGCTTAGAATCTATATCATCCATTTGATAGTTCTTCTTTGCATGTTATCGTGAATAGTTTTTATAGAGCAAAGAAGAATGGATGGTCTCAACAAAAGCTATATAGATCCCATCTGCCAGGAGAAAAAATTATGTGATTGCAAACAGCTGAATTACTACAAGTTAGTAAGCGATTCCCAGATCCCTGACTGAATAATTTTCTGCAGTTCTGAGTCAAACATGTAAATGTGAGAGCCAAAGCAATTGTTTGAATTCATGTACTTTGCCTGGCTGTAACCACAAAGTGGAGTCCTAGCCTCTGTGGAAGAGCTACGTATCACTCGACAGTGGAGGCCCACTGTTGCCTGCTAGAGATGAAGGAGAGACTTGTAGCCTTGTTGTCTTGCAACGTTGACTGTTCTGTGGTGTTTTCACTATTAGCCAGTCCACATAACTTGCTAAATTGTGATTGCTCAAACTGAGAGAGTGTTTTAATATATTCTTGAACCCAGAATGTGTATGGAATGTCTTATTGGAATGTGCACTTCATGTCTTATTATATAGTTTGAACAATGTAAGTTCCTTGAAAGGCTGAAGGCTTTGGCAAGTAAAACCATCTTTTAAAACCTTTTAATCCTTTTTAATAACAGTTTAGATAATGTTAAATATTTAGATCCCACTGTGGTCTGCAGTGCCAAATTTATTGAGTCTTTGCGTGCTGGCTCTGTTATGTCATAAGGCTTAAAAGATTAACACATCTGGTCCATCAACTATGTTTCATGTTAACAGTATTCCTATATTGTGCTAGCAACTTAACAGTGGCTTAGACTCTAGTAAGGTCAAAGTGTTCTGTTTAAAGACCAACGTGTGGAACAGAAAAAGAAGAAAAGATTGAGAAAAGCGAATGTTTTATCTATACACGCTAGTAAAATGAAATATTGTAGCAGAAACCAGCTACTTGTGTTGTGTAGAGCTCAAAGAATTTCTGTTCTTTCATCAATCATGACTTCGTTTAGAAGCTAAATGGAAACTTTCTCTGCGTTCCTAAGCTAATTCTCTCAAAGACTTCCATTGATACGGAGAGATCAACTGAAAGAAGGCTAATGTAACGGATATACAGGTCCTTCTTGGCATCATATGTAAACGCTTGCCCATCTTTTGACTTCATATATGCAAAACACTGAGATTTCCAGATGTGCTATGCAAATACAAAATAATGTAAATTTTATCATTGGACTCAGAGAGAAGCAACAATTTAAACTTTATACTATATGGTACGTTACAGTGTTCTCAGAAGAGCAAATTATTTTGTCTTCTGCCCAGAATAGGAGGGAGGGAGGCAGGTATGCTTGAAGACAAAGTTGTGGCTTTTTCTTAGTGAGAATTTCTCCTCTCGTACTTGACTCTACCAACGTTTCTATTGCTTGTAGATCAATATGATGTTGGCAAATCTATACAAGAAAGCAGGTCAAGAACGCTCATCTGTTACGAGCTACAAAGAAGTACTGAGACAGTGCCCTTTAGCACTTGATGCCATCCTGGGTAGGTGTCTGCACACTGTTAGTATTTCTGTATTAAACAGTCTTATAATTTGAATTATGCTTGGGACTAGGTAACTGTCTTGCATTTGCATGTAATATGTAATACTTACATTATGCAAATTATAAAACCAAATTATAGCATTGTAACAAGCTGCTTATTTATGCTTGTCAAGGGATGGAGTTTCTGGTCTTCAGACAATTAATTTGTATTAAAAGCAGTTTATGGTGGCTGAAATTGATGTATATACCATTCTGAATAGGCTTGCTCTCGCTGTCGGTGAAAGGTGCGGAAGTGGCCTCTATGACAATCAACATAATTCAGAGTATTCCTAACTTGGATTGGCTTTCCGTGTGGATCAAGGCATATGCTTTTGTGCATACTGGAGATAACACAAGAGCGATTAATACCATTTGGTAAGAGTTCAAAGAGCATGATGTAATTAATATATTACTATTTATATATAATTGTATTTAAAATGGCATTATATATGTAACAGTTTTGTTGTTTGGTTTTTTTCTCTTAAAGCTCTTTAGAGAAAAAGTCATTGCTGAGGGATAATGTGGACTTACTGGGGAGCTTAGCAGACCTGTATTTCAGAGCCGGAGATAATAAAAACTCTATTCTAAAATTCGAACAAGCACAAATGCTGGATCCTTACCTAATAAAAGGTGAGTAAATCCTAAAAGAAAGTTTACCTAGTGTAATGATCTGATGAGTACCATTAGAGTAGCAGCTACATGTAATCAAGCATGCAGTAGAATATGGTATATTGTTGTACCTGGCTTTCAAGGCAGAATTTGCATTCAGAAGCTGTGTATCTTGAATAGTTACTGGTAGTTGCACAGTTTAAAGTAGGTGTTTGTGGTTTTGTTTTTTTCTTGTTGTGAATGAACTTTCCATTTCTTGATGATTGATCTTCGAATGTTTCACTGTAGGAATGGATGTATATGGTTATTTATTGGCACGTGAAGGTCGACTAGAGGACGTGGAGAACTTGGGCTGCCGTCTCTTCAATATTTCTGATCAACATGCGGAACCCTGGGTGGTATCTGGGTAGGTAGTTTTCTTTCCTTTCTTACCTCAGCTCTTGATTTGTTGCATGCGATGGATTACAGTTGATACAGGGGGTTCAGAAGGTGCATTTTTGTCCTGTCTGTTCTGTTCTTGGGGTAAATTAAATAAGCTAGCCATAAGTATTTATTTGGGTTGTTTTCTGTATGTTTAAACCTATGAGAGTTGCCACACCTGTGCAATAACGATATATTAAATAGCTGTAACAATATTCATACTGGTTTTTTTAAACTCCTGAAGAGGTTTTTTTCCCTGAACATAATTCTTAACTTCAAATGCAAGAAGTTCAACAATTGCCTGTAATTTCTTTTTTTTTTTAAATTTTTTTCTGCTCTTAAACCTCTGTGTGTGTGCACAGGCACCACAGTTAGTATATGCTTACAATCCTTCTTGTCTTTCCATAGGTGTCATAGTTTCTACAGTAAACGCTACTCTCGTGCCTTATATTTAGGAGCCAAAGCCATCCAGCTTAATAGTAACAGTGTTCAAAACTGCTGAAAGGAGCTGCTCTTAGGAATATGGGCCGAGTACAGGAAGCAATTATACACTTTCGTGAAGCAATACGTCTTGCACCTTGCAGGCTGGATTGCTATGAAGGTGAGTGAAGTGAAGCTACTCACGTGTACAGTATTGGTTTGGTGTGAAAGTTGGTGTCATGATGATGATGATTAGGCAAGGGAATAGACGGGAATTCTTTTCTCCTGCTGACTTTCTAGTAAATAAATTATTATTACCCAAAAACCTATAAAGCTCGAGTAGAAGCAATCAGATGAGGGATACTAGAGAATACATGTATTTATAAGAATGATTTTCAAACAGGGCCTTTTTTTTGTTGGTTTTTTGTTTTGTTTAATCTGGATATAAACACACTTGGGCATTCTTCTGAGCAGATCACTTTTGGATGATGACATTAACTATATGGTTAGCTCCACTGGGAGCTTCGTTTTGTCATGCTCTTGTAATATTTATTGAAATCTTGTTGATCTCAACAGCAGCTTCAAGTAAATAGTGAGTTGTGAAGGGTCCAGGTGAAGTATTAATATCTCGGTACTGGAATTGGACAAAAAGATTAGGTGTACTTAGGCTTTTTTTTTAGTACCTGCCCATAAATATAAGCGATGAAGTCAATTGTCTGTAGAATGGATATGTTAAAATGTAGACTTAAGAAAATACACAAAAGAATGGTATGAGAGGTGTTAAACCTTGCACCAGTTTGTAATATGGTGTTGCATTTTAGGGTCTATTTTCTTAGGATTTCCTGGTTCTCAAGTTTTTTCAGTGGTACTTCTCTGTCTTCTATGCAATTATTGGTTAAAGCTAAATTGATTATGCTGTAATATTCAGCAGTGAAATTTTGTTTTGTTTTTTACTTTTTCATTTATTCAAAATGGAGACTGCTCATCTGAGTCTCCTGGCTCCTCCAGTTTCATATCTTGTGCTCTGTGGTGGGCACAGTGCTGTAGATTCCCTGCTAAAGTGAAAAGCATTTAGAAGTACTGTAAGGCAGTTTTATATTTGCTTGAGTAGTTTTGCTTCTTCTGCAACTGAGGAAGAAATGTGTAAGCTGTCACAACTTAGTCTTTTGTCAGATGTTGGTCCTGGGAGATGGTCATCCATCTCCTACCTTTGTCTTAGGTTCCATGTAGAACTGTGTGCTGCTTTAATGTATGTGTCCAAATTTCCTTCTCTGCAAGTTTCTTTGACGTCTGTGTACTTCAAAAAATGTTGGGTATAGAGTTGCTTTCTCAATTGCAATTTGTATTTGCTTATTGGAGTCAATTGTTTGGAGTTTGCATGCTGCTAAGTGCAAATAATTGAGGAGGGTGAGTGCCTGTAGTGCTAACTCAAAACCAAAATGTTTTACTTTTTATATCATCAGGTCTCATCGAATGTTACCTAGCATCCAACAGCATCCGTGAAGCTATGGTTATGGCAAATAATGTGTACAAAACTCTGGGAGCAAACGCACAGACGCTCACTCTGTTAGCTACAGTCTGTCTCGAAGACCCAGTCACGCAGGAAAAAGCAAAAACTTTATTGGATAAAGCGCTAACACAAAGACCTGATTACATTAAAGCTGTGGTAAAGAAAGCAGAACTTCTTAGTAAGTTCCTCTTCTTTTTGTTTTTTTTTTTTTTTCCCATGTAGACTTATTTAAAGCATAATGTTTTACGTGGAAGACTGTTCTGCAAGCCTCATTGATGTGAAGAATGTAACAATGATGTTACAGCCAAGGGATTTCAGTTCTATCCTGAAGGAAAAATCACAGGAATTAATTGGATCTAGCAACTGATACTACACCAGCACTTAAAACAATTGCAAACAAAATATTTTGACTTCAAGGTATATGTAATCGTGAGTGTAGCAGTCATTGCAATAAAAAGCCATTGTTCAGAGTTAACTTGCAAAAAGTATATCGCTAGTATCCCCCGTGCTGACAGTTCTGAAGGAAGAAATAGTTTTCTGTTTTGATGGCTCTTTGTGTACACTCTGACTTTTTATAATTAAAACTGTAGTTTTGCATACGAACAGGTAGAGAACAAAAGTATGAAGATGGAATTGCTTTGCTGAGGAATGCGCTGGCTAATCAGAGTGACTGTGTTCTGCACCGAATACTGGGAGACTTTCTTGTAGCTGTCAATGAATATCAGGAAGCGATGGACCAGTACAGTATTGCCTTAAGGTAAAGCAGAGACTCTGAGGCTGCAGTGTATTTATAAGAACAAATAATCAACTTGACAAAGTAAAAAGTTGAGCTACTAATCGGTTAGGATGTACATCTGAGGTAGCTTTACATTATTCTCCCTTAAAACAAACAAAAACATACAAACGATGGCCTGTTAATGTATTAGTTGGTCATAAGGCTTTGAACTGAGAAGTGCAAAATTTAGGGACTGTGTTAATGCCAAGCATGTCACTAGGCGTGTGATTCCTTGACTGATGAAAGGATTAAGGCATGACCTTATAGTTATTCATTATTATACAGTCCAGGCGCCTTAAGATCCATTCCTTTAGGCTAGAAGGTGCTATATAAAAAGGAGCTATTAAGTAAATTTAAATAGTGTGATTCAATCTAACATGATCTAAATGTTATTTTAGGGTGTTACCATGTTAAATGTTACCATGTCTTGATTTCAACAAGTTAAATTTTACCTTAAATCTAGCACATTATGTCCGCTATAAACTTACATGGCTCACATAGGTCAGCTGTCTTATCTTTGCATATAATATATTTAGTCATAGTCATTTAAATTTTTACTGCTTTTATGTTACTGTATAATTAGTTTCGCGTGGAAAAGTTGAGTAAGTTTTCTGGAAGAGTGTGATGTTTAGATAAGCCCGTTCTTGGGGATCAGAAATGTTTTATAAAAAAATTTAATACTCAGTGTTACGGTCAGCCTGAGGTGAAGTTGCATCATCTACTAAATTGAACTTCTTGATGTTAAACAGGAAGTGCAGATAAGAAGATGAGATTTTTTTTTTTTTTTTTTTTTTTTACAATAATACAACAAAGAGAACAAGTAAGTTCTAGGACAACACTTTCTTTTTCTTACTCTCCTCAGTTTGGATCCAAATGATCAGAAGTCACTAGAAGGAATGCAGAAAATGGAAAAGGAGGAAAGCCCAACAGATGCAACCCAAGAAGAAGATGTGGATGATATGGAGGGAAGTGGTGAAGAGGGGGACTTGGAAGGCAGTGACAGTGAAGCAGCTCAGTGGGCAGATCAAGAACAGTGGTTTGGCATGCAGTAACGGCCTCTCATCCTGCTGCTGCTTTGGGCACTTGAACATACCACTAGGGCCATTCTTCTTTGAAGAACATAAGCTATGATTTTTGCAGCAAAGGACCTTTTTTTTTTTTTTTTTTATAAACTCTGAAACCATTTAATAGTTCTATGCATCTCAATGCCATGAAGATTCTTGATGCTTTTTATTTATTAAATATAAGGGACTAACTCTATTGGAGGTTATTTGCAACTTTCATTTCAAAAAAATCCTGCTAAAACTAAAAGCATTAGAATCTGAAGTGTGTAATAAGCCTGTTGTTTATGATGAAAACAATGTCTAAATTCTGTCCAGGGCTAACTGGGCTTGATTGACTTGTAAATACAGTGGTTTGTACTCCTTTGCGGAAAAGGTCTTACTCTTTTGTTTGTATGTTACCATTTGGGCTCGCACTCCTGTTGAAGTCTGGAGGAGTTGCTCGGGTGTGGCTGAAAGCAGTACTTCTCTCTTGCTGTGTTTGTTGAATTAATTTGTCTTTTTGTAAGGCATTCCATGTGCTATAAAGGAGAAGTTTGGTATGCTGGGCAGCTTTGACTTACAGGACACTTTTGTAGCTGACTGATTTCTATGTGTACGGAATTGAGCCAGTGTTGGAGAATTACAGTCATTTCCTCAATCCTTGCTAAACCCTGTGATCACTTTAAATCTGTACATGAACATTTATTTTTAAATGCAGTTTAGTTTCATTTCAGTATGTTACTAAAAGGTTTTACAGCAGTGACTCAAAGCACTTCACATTCTGTATACAGCACTGACATTTAAAATTATATAAAAAGAATTCATCCCTGTTTACTTGCATTGCTGTAGAAATGTAAAATTATGCAAATACACATATTGTCTTGGTTTTGCCATGTTTATATACTTCATGTTTTCATCAGGTAATACTTGAATTCATGTGTTTTCCCTCACCTTTTGAAGCCAAATTGCATTGATTCAGGTTCAAATTCTCAAGATCAGCATTTCAAGGATGAACTTCTTTGTGTAATCTAGAAACCGTTTCAGTTCTGTGGGCTTGATGTGTGGGAGGAGGAATTACTTCTTGGTCTTCTTTTTCTTACAGTTCTGATTTCCTTACTCTTTACTAAAACATGTATTTTTATCTTTACATTGGCAATTTAATTCCTTTTGTATTTATTCTGTTACCGCAGGTATGCTGGAGCCCACAGACTTTTTTTTTTTTTACAAAGCTAAAAATATTTTTGAGTATCCTTTGGAGGAAAAATGGCTATTTGATACAAATACATGACGTGGAAAACAAGTTGCTCCCTAGTTGTAGATGTATGATGCAGATAAAGGTAAAACATCTCTTTCTCTGTCATGTGCATTATATCAATTAGAGAAATGCACAACAAAAAGAATAGGCAGATTACTTCTATTGTAGTCTAATTTGGAAACATTTCAGTATGTCACATTGTACAAAGGAGGAGTGTAGTAGTTCATCCATTTTAAAAAAGAAATCAGCTTGCTATCTGTTCTCTCTGGAATTTTGTGGGCTTTAGACTTTCCAAAATATCAAATTGAATTATGGTTATTTGAAGACTATATGGGAAGAACAGCAAAACATGTGCTGCTGTCTTGGTGATTGAATTGGCGTGAGCTGTTACTGCTCTTCGTTAAACAAATACACCAAATGGCTGCATTTCAGTGAGAGCAAGCAGTTTAATTGCATTCTCGTGGAGGAGAGGCCTGATCCTGTTCTTCTTTTACAAAGAATCTGTTTAGACCGTTGCTGTGTGATGCAGTGAATAGATTTCAGCTCACTGCCTGAGTTTGGTAACAGAAAGAAATACACATGTACAGGCAAATTCAAAGCTTTTTTTTTTTTTTTTTTTTTAAAACCCCAAACAACAACAAACTGATTTGTTTTCTCCTCACACTTGAGCCTTCATCAGATTGTATTCTGCATCGGAAAGTTGGGGAGATTCGTTAGCTTTCTAGTTCTGTTCCAAGCCCCTGTCGTGGATGAAAGAATGGAGTTCTCGCTGTTACTAAACTAATGAAAGGACACATTTAATTTTGATGAGAGAAGTATACGAGGTGTGTGGTGTATATTTTGCACGCTGCTCAGCCATTTTATTCTAATGATTCCTTTAAATAGGTTGTTAATTGCAGGTGGAAATCACTGGCCTTAACACGTTTTTCTGAAACATTTACAAAGAACAGGAAATTGGAGAACCACAGTTTTACTAAAACCATTCTGTAGTATGTTTGTAGATAATCTGATAATCTCTCCTTTTAGAACAGACAGGAAACTAAAACTACTTCAAGATGAGTGTGCAGTAAAGAAAACAACAGTGTGCTTATGTGCGGCTTTAGCAAACGAGTCCAGGTACACCTAAGAACACCTTAAGATGGCTGTCAAAATAGAGTTGTATCCTCGCTGCTTTGTTTTTTGGAGAACTTGAGTCCTTATTGGAAGTGAAAAGTTCAGTCAGATCCAGCAGATAATAGTTCTGTAAGTACCTGATGTGTTGGGGTTACATAGCGTGTGTGTAGTCTTTGCTAATAGTTGTATACTAAGTGAGTAAGGAACCTTAAGGTGCCATACATGTCAAGTGCATTTGAGATTATATAGCTAGATATATTTAGCGCTGGCTTCACAATTCTAGAGGGATTCTTCTTGCCTATTAATGAGCCTTCATTAGCGCTCTAATTTTAGAACGTGATCTCTGGTTTTGCAGAGATCTCATACTCTCAAATTCAGTTACTGGTATCCTAGTTCGGGGAATAAAGCAGCCCATAATAAGCAGCTGACCTCATTCTGTCCCTTAATCATGTGCTGTGCACCCTAGAAGAAAAGATCATAAAGCTGAAAACTGAAGTTCAGACTGCGTCAAATCGGTGATGTAAGCTCCCCAAAGTGAAGCAATTTGTAGGTGAGGTGAGAACGCCGTTGCCATCCAGTTGTGTCCAACGATGGTGTGTCTGCAAATGCTGGTCTCTGGGGCTGGGTGAGGATAGAGTGCCTGGGTTTGCTTGAAATCCTTCACTTTAAATCACATTAGTAAATTTTAATTCTCTCCTATTTTGTGATTAGAAAGACACAGATGTGATGCAAAGGGACAGAAATTTTTCAAACCTTACATAGGCTTGTGTAGGGACTAAAAGACTTAATTTACCAGAGTCTAAAAGCAGCACACATTCACGACGGGGCTAGGAATTATCTAAATACTGCATGGTCTGTAGCAAGCGATTTGCTCATGCTTTATTCTGTAATGTGCTGATAACACCCGAAATATCGGCAGTATTTCTGATTCTGATTTCCAGATCTTGGGAATCCAAGAACTGTGAAGCAGAGATCATCGAAGGAACTGAGGACTGCTGGCCAATATAAATGTTTTCTGTTTAATAGAGGTGCTTTTTCCTTTTCTGTTACTGCTGATCATGGAGAGATTTTTGATTAACTAGGACTTTTTTTTTCTTTTTTTTCCCTTTCAATAACTGTCTTCCTCATTAGGCCTGGTTTTTGTGTGGTGATTCTTCCCTCCTTGCTTTTCAGGAGCTCAGTGGTGTGGAAACTGATCCATCCAGGGCAGAAGGAGGGAGTATTTCTTATTCAGGAAACCTTATTTCCTCACTTAGATCTCAGCGGTAAGGAAATCTCAAAGTACAGTCTGACACTGTAATTTCAAGTTACAAGTTACACATATACCATGACCAAATATTTAAAAAAAAAAAATTAAATCAGTGCAGTCTCCGGAGGTCTTAAATTTAGTGACCTTAGGCAGGCTTAAATTTAGTATAAACCATTGATTTCAAACTAAATAGCCTTAGGCAGGACTTAAAGTAACATATTCTAAATAATGTGAATTCAGTACTGCTCATCAGTAAACTGACAGAACTTTATGTTGTACCCAGCAGAACTCAAGTACATCGTGGTTGATTTTGCTGTAGTTTCTTCATCAAAAGGATCCAGTGTGGGCCTAAAGAATGATTCCCCATACCTGCTGTGTTCTTGTGCTGCAGGGTGGCAGTTTGAAAAGTAATCCTGTGCCTTGATGCCTGAACCTACCTCAAAAAAATATTCCCACTCCTCTCCCATCTTTCTTTTCCTTTTTAACTCTGCAAACCTTTTTGCTACCTTCTTTTTTTTGTTTTACTATATTTTTTTAATCCTTTATCTGTTCACTTCATAGCCCTGCAAAAGGTTGGTTGGTTTAAGCACCTTGAGAACCGGGGGCAAGAACTGTAAAGCTGTTGTTGAATTGCTGGAGCTGTGGCCTAAGGTCTTGGTGATAATTAACATGTTTATGTCTGTCCAGTAACCAGATCTTGGAGGGAAGGGTAACGGGGCAGGGGGACAACAGGGCTGGCCTGGACAGAGGGAGAATGGGGTTACCGCTGCAATTCCTCCTGCATTCCTAGGACCAGCAGGCTGGTTAAGATGCATTTGGAGGCAGGGAGATGCCTAGGGCTGGGGATTTGGGTGAAGGAAAAAAAAAAAAGTTATTCTGGTGCAAACACAGCTCAGGGAAGAGTGTTACATTGAAGTTCCCCACAGGAATGTTTTAATTGCTATATTAAGTAAAGCCCTTTGGCTAGTCCATGTCTATCACTGTTGATGACAACAACAGAATAATTTATGTTTTCATTTACTGTTTTGAGCTTTGCGCTTAGTTGCGAACCTCAATGGCTGTATAATGCTGGGTATGGAATGTGCAGGGGAAGCCTCCGCTGCGGTGGGTCACTGAGGGATGTTTACACTGTAAAAGCCTCAAATAGCTTCCCCAGAGAGGCCAAGGACTTTAGAACTTTGCAGATCAGATTCCTTTTCCTCCTTTCTCTTTATCATCCTGTCAAAACACCGATGCGTGCAAATAGAGCAATGGTTTGGGGATCTAACATGAGCAGTACAGTTCCTGACTTAAGAATTTTAAAAGGGACTGAATTTTCTACATCTGACTGTTCTCAGGACCATTTTGTAAAGGACAGCAGATGCCATCTACTGAGCTGCCTGCCCTGCGGTGTGTCCTGCCCACGGTGTTTGACCAGAGCGCAGTGTGGCAGGGAGCACTGACCTTGCATTCTGAACGCTTGCTGTAGATGTTTCAGCTATCTTTTTTTTCAGCTCTGCGTTCCAGAGTGCTGTGAGCCTTGTCTAGAGGACAAAGGGGAGGGAAAAAACCCCGTATCCTGAGACTTGGACTCGATATAAATTTCTGAATTACAGAGAACAAAAAGTCCAATTACATCGAAGTGGCTGGATG